TAGCCGATACCCTCTGCTCTGCTGTGTGACATGAAATGCCCCTGCTTTGCCCTAAAAGCATGTCACTCTCACTCCAGTTTGTGGCACTGAGACTCACAAAGCCCCCTAAATCACAGGACGTGTTGTGATCTTGTAACCACTGCTCTCCCTCCAACGCACCCTGTCTTTCAATGGCAAAGCTTCCTCTACTTTAAGGTGAGGTCATGGTCATGATTGTTTACTGCGTGCATCCTCTGTTTACTTCTCTCTCCCATCCACTTTAGAGTCACAGGGCTCTTCCACTTACTTGGGCCTTTTTCCCACTTTACACTGAGGGGTTGTTAATAATAACTTTTCACTCATATTTTCTGTGTGTTTTGAGGACTCCTCAAACATGCCTTTATTTCAACTTTAAGTAGAGTTTGCTTCTTAAAACCCACTCTTCAGATTCAAATGCAGTTAAAACTGCATGTTCTTTCATTTTCCACAATTGTTAACAAAATCAAGCACGTGCCTTCTGGATAGGTCAGTCATAAGAATAGATATGTCAAGGTTGACATTGAGTCACGAGTTGCAGTTCCGAAAAGCGTCTCTTTACCAGTCCATAAGAGCTAGTGGTTGTTTGTTTTGCTTAATTTTAAGACAAAGTCTCACTTTGAGCCCAGGCAGGACTCAAAAGTCAAGATCTTTCTGTCTCAGCATCCCCAGTCTTCCGATGACAGGTGTGCAGGGCCAATCTCTGGACATAAATCCCTATTTATTTACTGACTTGAAGACAGTGTTATGTCTAAGGTTTTTTTTTTTTTGTATTTCTCAAGGGCCCTTTACCATAGTAGATGCTAAATAAGTACATATGGGAAAACTTAATTCATGAAATCTGAATTGATTGGTTTAATGCAAGAAAAATATGAGTTTCAGCCACATGTGGTAGCATGTACGTCAGCATTTAGGGGGTGGAGGCCAGCATGGGATAAACATAAAGTTCAAGGCCACTAAGATCTTGTCTCAAAATGAGAGACAGAGAACGAGAGAGAAAGAGAGAATGGGGTGGGGGGGAGTTTCAGAAACACACTAAAATTGTTCAAGGACAAAGGGAAAAATAAACCTCCTCAGATACTCAAACATTTGTTGGCAAAAAGGAACAAGGATTTCAAATGCGAATTTTGAAATAAGAGCCTCCTGGACTTCACGTGTGCCACAACGAGAAAGACGGAATGCTAAGAGCTGCCGCTAAAGAAAAAAGTTCCCGTCGGCCTTGTCCTCAGTGCTGTATGAAGCAGATATTGCCTGCGCTCTGACAAATGAGGGATCTGAGACTGAGAAAGTCATTAGTTCTCAAACACACCATTAGCACATGGTGAAGACTGAATTCCAACCAACCCTGCCTGACTTCACAGCGCAGCTCTTAGCAGCCAGGTGATAGGAAGGCTGGCCAGGAGATTCCGGAACATCCCTAGTCCCAGCACTAGGAATGGGGCCCAGTTAAAACAACTGAATGGAAGCCTGCCTCAACAAGGTGGACGGTGAGAAGCAACTCAAAAGTTGTCCTTCATACACACAAACAGTGAGAGACAGAGAGAGGGAGAGGGAGAGAGAGAGAGGCAACAATGAATACAGCCACTTATGCAAATAAGTAAAAGTTCACCTGCGTGAGTACTATGGAGACTTCAGAGGACATTAAGGCAATCTCTTACCTTTTCAATAACTGAGACACAAGAAAATTCATATCTTTTAGAACTTAAATGCAGAGCTAGTAAGATGGCTCAGAGGGTAAAGATACTTGCCACACGAACCTGATAATGTGAGATCGATATCAGGAGACCACACAAAGGTGGAAGGAGGACTGACTCCAAAAAGTTGTTCCCTGACCTCTACACTCACACACACACACACACACACATGCAAGCACGCACGCACACAATAATAATATTAAAGTTTAAAAGTTAAAAACCTATATGCAAATTTTTCTGTCAGGAATCTTACAGCTGTTGAACTCAAATTTTGAAGCAATGGCATGTTCTTCTTTTCATTATGTTTAACACCAAGGAACCAGAAGATTCCTAGAGCTTCCTGCTACCAGCTATGATGGATGGCGCTAGATCTATCATTTCGACACAGTGTGCTCTCTTCCCCACAACCACTGGAGCCATCCGGGGAGGCAGCCAGGAACACAGCCCACAGAGGAGTCTCTGATATTTAGAGTCTCCGAGTCTGGAGATGGGCATCAGATTGTGTTATTTGACTTCCTCCACAGCAATAATCCACAGTCGGAAGGTCTGGGAAGAACAAAGAATGCAGACAGATAAAGGTCAGCAAAAGGGAAAGTAAGTGGTAGGAGACGAGGACCAGTGAAGACAGATGAGGTGGTATCTGCAGGAATGTCCTCAGCTGTGGCAAAGCTTCTCTCTGCCATTGACTAGGCTGGCGGGGGCTGGTGTGCAAAGCCACAGCAGCAGACTAAAACACAGACATGTGCATTTAGTATCTCCTCTTTGGATGGTCCGAACGTGGTATTTGTTCATTCACATTACCCAGGGAAGGACGGCTAAGCAGTCAGGCAAAACTCCAGCTGCGGCCAGCTATAGTGTACAAGAGATGGGAGTTCCGAGCCCAAGGCCACCAACCCATCTCCCTTCTCACTCAACACAGATTTTCATCTGTTTCACCTGTATCTTAGTCCATCCCTCCTAGGTTCCGAGAAGCCTCATTATCTACTGTAAACTTACAAGGCATGACCTTTACCATAGAGGCTGAACACGGATTCAGACTTCTTTTGGTTTCAACCCCAACTTTTCCTTAGCAAACTGTGCCATGGGAACTGAGTTTGAGTCACTTCAATCTTAACAGCTTTTTCCACAACAGTGACACAAAGGAAAGCAACATCCCGTTGTTTAAATGAACAGTGATCCTGCTATACCTGCTTCAAGGAAAAGACAGCCTTCCACCGTGTGCCCTTGGCCAGGCTGGAACTTTCTTTGTAGACCAGGCTGGCCTTGAACTCACAGAGATCAGCATGCCTCTGCTTCCCAAATGCTGAGATTAAAGGTGTACACCACCGTGCCTGACTTGGCCTGGTCTTCCTTTTCTTAATCTCCAGGAGGAATCATCGACCATCTTGACAAGCAGGCAAGGTTCTTGTTTCTTCTACCTGCTCTTCGCCATTTTCTGCCTTTTACCAGTGTAAGAAAAGAGCAAATGTAGCAGGATGTGGTACACGGCTTTAACCCCAGCACTCAGGGGGCAGAAGCAGGCAGATCTCTGTGAGACAGAGGCTAGTCCAGTCTACAGAGTGAGTTCTGAGCTAGCTGGGGCTACAGGGAGAACCTCTCTCTCAAAAAGAGCAAATTTAAAGAAAAAGCACATTCCATAATTTTAGACATCCTGACAGATCCTTCAGAAGAAAACGTTCCACTTAAGGGAGAAAATGGAACTGAGGATGAAACACAGACTGAAATTGTACAAGCTGATGACAACCCCCATTTCCATGATAATCAAAAGCTGAGTGAGTTAGAAGCAATGTGGGCACTAGCTGGCAAGATAGCAGAGTGAAAACACTGAACTCTCCCAGCCTGGAGCCTGAACTCAGCAGGGCCCTCCTCCTGCTCCTCTCACACACAGCACAACGGCTGAACGCTCACAGCTCCCTCTACCTTTCTCCACACTCAAAGGTCAGTCAGATAACACGCCAGTGAGGGCCACCGAGGAGGCCTCACATCTCCTGTGACCCTAAACCTGTTCGGTCTACTAAAAAGTAATTGCACACAGCCAAGAAACAATAACACCCTGCACCGCAGTTGGGTATCTGTGTGGCTGTCAAGATAAGCAGAGAAAACAGGTAGCTGAAGACAGCAGAGGCAAGGCAAGCAAAAGCAAGCATCCAGGAACAAAAGCCTGATGTCAGCTCAAAGAAACGAGGCGTCTCAGATGCTCGGTTTTGCCTTGACAACGTATTTATGGTTTTATGCATCCGTTCGTTCATTCAGTCATTCACACCCTGTGCACTCAGTGCCTTTGGGATGGACGCAGTTGGTGCCGCCATGTCTCACTCAGAAAATAATATCTTTGATTGCATGCACATTAGAGCATTTGTGGTTGAAATGGAAGCATACTTGTGGAAAACAGCATGATCCATGAACCTTCCTCTGGGTCAGTCCCCTGCTCACTTGAGAGGCTGGCTAAGGGCTCTCATCATCCCTTTTTCTACGGCTAGGCTGGGAAAGAGCTCTGGAAGAACTACATGATGGGTGTAGTCCACTAACACTTCTTTTCACCTTGAAATCCAAGGACACCTTCCACATTAAAGAAGGAGATATGGGGGCTGGAGAGGTGGCTCAGCTGTTAAGAGAACTTACTGCTCATACAAAGGACCCAGGTTCAGTTCTCAGCACCCACATGGTGGCTCACTATTGCCTATGACTCTTACAGGTCCAGGGGATCCAACATCTCCTCTGACTTCCACAGGTGCCTGCATGCACATGGTGCACATAAACGCACATAGGCACATCCACGCATATGAATAAGGAAAAAGAAATAAAAAGAATGAGCTACGCAGGGCTGGGGGTGTTTTCCTAACATAGGCAAGGCTCTGGGTTTGATCCTCAGCCCTGCAACAACAAAAAGAATGAGTGGGCTGGAGAGATAACTCAGCAGCTAAGGGTGCTTGGTGTGCAGTCATGAGGCCTGGAGTTTGGATACCAGCACCCACCTAAGAATCCAGGTATCTTGTGCACACCTATAATCCCAGCCTTGAGTGGGCAGAGATTGGAGGGTCACTGGATCTTCCAGCCTAGCTGAGAAAATGCACACCAGGTTCAGGGAGAGACCCTGCTTCAAAGGAGTAGGCACAGAGTGATAAAGGACACCTGACACCCACTTCCGGCCTCTGTGCATGTGCACGGGTATCACCCATACACTCATACAGACACATACATGTCACATGTGAACAAATACTAAATAAATAGATGAATATTCAAATTTGTTTTTAAAAGAGGTCCACCAGGAGCACTGGCACATGTTCCTACCTGATCTCTCAGTCTCTCTTGGTGGCCCATGATCGCTGTGGCATGGTGGGGGTACTTCTGCTTTAAGTGTTCTAGAAACGCTTCTCTCTTCCTGTCCATCTCAGATGTTTGCATCCCCAGTATTTCTTTGGAACTTCGGGGCCCACCTAGGGTGTGTCTCCTTGGGATATTTCGGGCAGACTTGGAAACGGGAGCCCTGGTGTTCCCATTAGACAGGTGCTGCTTGGGCCTGCGGTACTCTGCATCTTCCGGGGATGTTACATGTAGACTGCTTTTCCCTTGCTCTGCAAGATGGAAAAGAAAGTACAGTTCACAATTTATGCTTTCACACAAGAAATATCATTTATAGAACACCAAGAGGGTTTGTGGCAGTTGTCAGTGTATAAATGTAACTTAAGAGGATCTTTTTCCTTTTTCTTTTTTTTCTTTTTTTTGCTTCAGCAAGAATTTAAAAAAAGCAAAACAAAACACACAATCAGAAGAAAACTGGGGAAAAGAATGCACTTTAGATGCTACAGCAAAAACTCTACTATTTCTGTCTTTTACTGAGTTTATTCCAAACAAGAACAGTTAAGACAGATTGTTTGCATGCAACAGGGCTGCCCCTAAGTCTACTACATCAGAGTTGACCTCAGTGATTCTGAGTATTTGTGTATTTTTCATTACAGTTTCATTTCGGTAATGGGGTTTTTCTATTTTTATAAACTGAAGATGGCTTCTGACACATGGGTTTCAGCACCAAGAACAGAAATAGGTATCACCCTCAGATAATCACTGGCACATATGAACCACTTGAAAGCTCTGTTTCTCCATTAGCATAAGCCAGGCGAGGGGAACATCATTAGAGGGAACAGTCCATCAAAGGGATGAAAGCTCGGCCACATCTTCCCTGAACTGACTTCATCTAAAACACAAAGCAAGGAGAGAGCCATGGGCTATGTTAGACAGTCTCCACCTGGATGTGCTGATTCCAAGCTGCTCTTCCGGGGACACACTGGCTTCTCTCAGAGCACAAGGACCAAGAGGTGCATGGTTAAAGCTTAGGGGGCTGGGCACGTATAAGGAGCGCCCTCTCTTTTTTGGGGAGAGAAAGTAAAGGGCAGTGGGAAACTGTAGAAGCTGCATGGATTCATGACACAGCTCCTATAGCCTTTTAAAAGGCAGAATAGGGAGAGATGGCTCAGCAGGTAAGAGCACAGATCGCTCTTCCAGAGATCTTTTTTTTATTCTGAATACTTTCGAAGTTTTATTCAACTCTTTATAAACTATACAGATGCATACACACACACACACACACATACACCATGTCTTTGTCATTCAATCACATTTTTAATATCATTATTTTTAATGTTTTTATTGGTTCTTTGAGAATTTCATACAATATACTTAGAACATTTTCAGCTCCACCCCCCATTTCTTCTCAAGTCCACCCCTACCTCCCAGTGCTAATCAGTTCATGTCATCTATTTTTGTAAGAGCTATCCAGTCTTGGGGCTGGAGAGATGGCTCAGCAGGTAAGAGCACTGGCTGCTCTTCCAGAGGACCTGGGTTTGAATCCCAGCACCCACATGACAGCTAACAGTCATTCATAACTCCAGTTCCAGGGGATCTGACGCCCTTTTCTGTCCCCCACCAGCATTGTATGCAATATACACGTACACATAAAAATAAAGCAAAACCAATAATAATAATAATAATAATAATAATAAAAGGCAGAATAATGTATCCATATCTACTGAATTCCCTAGTAAACTATAGAGTGAGTCTTGGGAGACCTGGGTTTCACTTCATCTACATTTAGAACAAATTAGATAGACTTTAATGACTCTTTTTCAACTTTTTTAAAAAATTATTTTATTTTATGTGTATGACTGTTTTTGTCTGCATGCATCTAAGTGCACCATGTGCATGTAATGCCTGCTGAGGCCAGAAGAGGGCATCAAATCACCTAGAACTAGTTAAATGATTATTAGCTACCATGTGGGTGCTGAGAACTGAACCCAGGTCCTCTGCAAGAGCAGCCAGTGCTTTTAACCACTGAGGATCTCTCAGCACCACTCCCCACCCATGCAACACACACCTTTTTCTGAGACTGGATCTCACTATGTAGCCTGGGCTGGCCTCAAACTCACAGAGATCCACCTACTTTGCCTCTCCAGTGCTGAGACTAAGTACACCACCATAGCTGGCCTATGACTCTTTTATTTATTTATTTTTTTAACTGAGACAGAATTTCATTATATAGCCCAGGTTGTTCTTCATCTTGCAATCCTCTTGCCATAGGTTACCGACCACTGTGATTACAGTGGTGGGACACTGTGCCTGGCTCATCTCATTTTCTTCATTAATAATATGAAAAAATTAAAACCAGGCATGATGGTACATACCTGTAATCTCAGCACTGGGGAGGTGGATGCAGGAGGATCAGAAGTTCAAGGTCATCCTCTATTACATATTAAGTGTGAGGCTGCCTGGGCCTGAAAGAGACCCTGGTCCCCATCCCTCCCCCAAAAAGTGGGGGTGGGGGTGAAGGAGAGGCTGGAGAAATGACTCAGCAGTTGGTTAAGAGTTGGCTACTCTTACAGAGGGCCCAGGTTTAATTCCCAGAACCCACACGGTGGCTAACAACTGTCCATAATTCCAGCTCCAGAGGAATTTGACACCCTCTTCTAATCTTGGAAGGCATTACATGACATGGGTGCACTTACATCTATGCAGGCAATACACTCATACATATAAAATAAAAATAATAAATATTTAACAGGTGAGTTCACACCCTGAGTGGCTGACAACTACCTCTACCTCTGGATCCAGGAGACCCAAGACCCTCTTCTGGCATACATGAGCACTCACAAATACACACACACACACACACACACACACACACACACACACTCACAAATA